CAGTTGGCTAGAGGTATCCCCGGTGTGCGAATAGCCCATCCGGTTCTGCAAGGGTGAGCTTGCGGAATGCGGCCCCGGGCGATGCCGAGCTTGTCGGCGATGTGGGTCCGCACGGCGAAACTTCGAGACATGTTGGCGGTTTGGCCGGCGCCGCGGCTGGCGAAGACCCGGAGGTCGTCTTGGTCGTCTTTTCTGCGAGTCGGTGGGTTGCGTTGCTCGTGGCGACGCGGGGCTGCGGTGACAGGGTCAGCGGTGGTCGCCGCTGCAGCTGAGGCTGGGCATCCGGCGCCGACGATTGTCGCGTAGGAGGGCTTCGTCGGAGGGAGGTTGGTGTGCGTGCCGGCGAGTTCGTCGGTCCAGTATTGCAGGAAGCTGCTGGAAAACTTCCGGGCGAATTGAAATGCGGGTCCAGGAGTGAACTGTTTCGCTGTGTCGTCGAATGAGGAGCAGAATGGCGATGGAGACCGGGCCGTCACCCGGCTGCGGGTCAGGTTCACTAGGGTCGAAATGGACAGCGCGCTGAGCTCCTTCCGTGGCTGCAGCATAGGGACCGAGTGCAGCGGCGACGACGGCGTGTGAGCCGTCCGTAGCGTAGAGCGCGAGACGCCAATCTCGCCCATGGCGGGTCTGTTGCGCAGAAGTGCGACACGCGCTCCTCTGGCTAAGCCGGAAGGGGTCCTAGGACCAAGATCGAAAGGATTATCATCATGAGGCGGGCTGGACAAGGCCAATGCCGTCGCCGCCGCCGCCGGCGGCTGCGAGGAGCGCAGATTGGGCGTATTACAGTGTACCTGTTAAAGAATAAGGTGTGTAGTAGGCTGCTTTCTTAACAGTTGCATGCCAAGAAAGTAAGAATGCAGGGAAAGATGCTACGGATGGAGTTAGTTAGTTAGTTAGTTAGTGTATTTTCCGTCCAGCGGCCGTGAGGCCGCTCAGGTCCCTATGGGGCACAGGACGTGCTGAGCTAGTGGGTCTGTCCTACGTTATCGATACAGCATGTGTGGGTCACTCGGAGATTACCCCCTCGTCTCCCCTCCTCCCATCGCCAAAAGTAAACAAACCACCATCCAGCATTTCAACGGCTCTAAGGCGCTCCAATTTGTGCTCGGTGCCCGTCAGCGGGTCGTCCAAGCGCGGCATCAAGTGCCGTATTCCACTGGCCTCGAGAGGGGCCGTCGTCGGAGACTGCAGGAGCAGCCTCAATTGACCCGGGCGGGCAAAGGGTGGTGCAACACCCTGCGCCTGGACGGGTCGCAGTTGTGAGAAGCAACAAAGGAAAGAGAAAGAGAGGACACCATCCGCCTAGTGGCGAGGACACGCCCATTCGAAGAACGAGCTTGCCTTCGCCAGCTGGACGAACTTGTCGAAGTCTCTGCCTATTGCACGATTGACTGCCGCAATTGGTGAGGGTGCCAGCCTCATCCGATGTCGCGGCAGGATCTTTCGGCAATAGAAGAGATGACTTGGTTCTTTTCGTCGGCCACACGAGCATAATAGCCGCGCATCGTCGTGGTTGAATCTCACGTGGTAGTCGGCAAAGTCTCCGTGACGGGACCTTGCCGCAAGCAGGTGGTGGAGCAGTGGTCGTGGGAGCTCTAGCTCTGGCGGGCAGCCGGTAGTAGGCTTGAGATGCAGTGGCTTGTACTGGTCGGGTGCAGAGGCGTCCCACCAGGCTTCAAAAGCGTCTCTGGACTGCTGCCGGGCAGTCCTGCGCAAATGAGCGAGTGTTGGGAGAGCGTCTGCGGGTTCGGGCAAGGAGGTGGCCGCCTTCGCTAAGGCGTCCGCCTGCTCGTTGCCTGCAGTGTTGGTGTGGCCGGGGATCCAGCGGACCTCTGTGGCGCCATGCGTCGTGGCCAGAGCCTGAAACTCGAGGAAGGCTTCCTGAGAAGAGTCCGCGGGCATGCCTCTCAGGCAGTTTGCGACGGCGAGATTATCGAGGCACACAAAGATGCGTCGTGGGCTAGGGAGGTTCAGTGCAGCACGCAACCCCTCAAGGGATGCTACGGATGGAGTTAGTTAGTTAGTGTATTTTCCGTCCAGCGGCCGTGAGGCCGCTCAGGTCCCTTTTGGGCACAGGACGTGCTGGGCTAGTGGGTCTGTCCTACATTATCGATACAGGATCTAGTGGGTCTCTCAGAGATTACCTCCTCGCATCCCTCCCGTTCCCATCACGAAAAGTAAACA